CTTTCGGTGGTGTCAGTAGGACCCTACCCGTTGTCGATCCCAAATTCAGAACCATACCAATCCGCATCGCACCAACATCGGGCAATCACTACGCATCGTACCAATGCTGAACTCGACCCGACCCTGATGACCTGTATCATACCGACGCCAAACCAAGGCCAGGCCCGCGATACGCCGAGTATCGTATAATGCCGCAACCCTCACCATGCAAAAAAAACTGGACTTTGCCGACGCCGAATGCCGTAAGAAGCAGAAATACTGCGGTAGTACAGAACCTGTTCCAGACCTGAAGGTAAGTTCCCGCGAGCAGTTCCATGCCCACTGCAAATCAATATTGAACCTGTTCATAACGCAGCGCATGTTCCACCCCGACGTCGGACCAATCACGAACTTCGAAATAAGCCTGACCCATGCTGATGTCGAGGTAGTACTTGTCTGGAAACAACTGCGTGCTGGTGCTGAATCTGATGTATTCCGTCGTGATAGGGCCGAATGCGACATTTTCCGCCGAGAAGGTTACGGACCTAAAATAAACTGCAGTAGTCGCGCCAAGGCTGAATTAAACCGCCGTAGTTGTCCCAGATCTGAAGACGAATCACGATAGTGTTCCCAAAACAAAGATATCCTGCTGTGGTGGTTCCGAAATCAGATATAAGTCGTCATGATAGTGTCGAACCTGAAGTATGATGACGCCGAACCTGAAACAACTGTCTTAGTCGTCCTGGACTTGAAATATATCACCGTAGCCACTCCGAACCCGATACCGAACCTCTCTGATCCGCATATCTGTGCCGAGCCAAATACCATACTGTCAACCCAAGGCAGCTCCACCCCACGCCGTCCATGCGAACATCCTCGGACTGTCACAGTGAAGTTAGTAATTAGGTAAATCGGGAAAGTGGCACGAAAAACCTCGATCATCGGGGACTGGTGAAAAAGGTTAGGATCCAGAGACAATCGATTAATCGGGGTTTAGAGCCGACGGTGGATATTCGAAGCATAACCAGGCCAGACATCGAATAATCATTTGTTCCCGTTCGTTTTATCGTCTTTAATCATTCTACGCTCTTCTTAATTCTATTGTCTGAATTAGTGAAATAATTGTAAGTTCACAAAAATCGATCTGCGAGGGGTTTTTAATTGAATAATTGAAATACTTTGTTTATCCTTACCTTCATCATTTTAGTCTCTTTTCTTCGTTTTTGATTTCGTTCCCGGAAACGTAAATTAAGGAGGTATCTTCCCCAAGATTTAAATGTCGCGAAAAATACAGAATTTAAGAAATATTACGTTTTCTCTTCCCTCCTACTATTCCCAATCTTTTCTCCCAACTTTAATTTAGGTACCAAAAATGGCAAAAATTCGAGGCGCTATTTTGGCCCTGATCATATGCTGCAAAAAACGTCGCAACGGGGTTAGTCCCCACGATGCCCCCTTGCGGCCCGCCATTCGAGGCCTAGCCTCGGAACGGGCTGAAATGACGGTCCCTAGATATGCCGGGAGCGGCTACCCATTTCGTCATCTTTGAGGATTACTCGTAAGGTTCAGTGCGCCCAAAATCACGGGTGCCCCAAGTTCCCCTATTTTTTGCTGCCTGGTCAAACCAGAGTACCGTCAAAACCCGGACTCGTCTTTGTGCCTAAGTCCCAAAGTCACGGTTTTCAGGCGGCCCATCCCTTGTGGCCGCCTGACAATTAGCCCGGACCTCTTCTCGACGCCCCCGTCGAACCCTAACCCCTTTACATCAAATGAAGCGGACGAGCTTCGGGGTGATTGTCCGTAAAGGACGCCCACGTTGGCGTTTAATTGTCTTATATTTCAGTTTGTTATGAGTTTTGGGGCTAAGAAGATGTTTCTTGACTTTCCTTCTCCTTCGGGATTTTGGCCTCGGTAGGATTCTCTTTTTCTTCTGACGTTGGTTCGAGGAAGGTGCCGACCCGCCAGTTTGTCTAATGCGAACTCTCCGTCTGGCCCTCTTGAGCACGAATCACCATCTCTTCTCTCTTCCTAATGCCAACCCTTTGACCTTTCGTTTCTCCACTCTTTTCCTCTTCTTGGAACTTTCCCCTGCCTCGAATCATCTCGAGGGGGCTCCATCCTCCATTTTGGCCTTCCCTCTTCCTTTCGGGCCTGTCAGCGATAAGGTAGGTGTCGGCCGGCCTGGGTCTAAACAGCTTTAACCTAACACCGGTCAGTGGGTCCTTCCACTTGGATCCGTCTAATTCTGCTATCATATAGGCACCCCAGTCGAGCGCCTCAACCAATCTGTAAGGTCCCATCCATCTGTTGGCGAGTTTTTCGGTCAAGGTCCATTCCAATGCTGCGTCGTAGAGAAGGACCATATCTCCTACGCTCACCGTCTCTTTCCTGATCCGCACGCCCTTATCCCATCTCTCTTTACCTTTGTCCCTCTCCGCTGCCAGACGATCTGCTGCTGTCATAAGGTTGTCTTCCAAACCGTAAGCTATCTGTCTTGTTCGGGCAGCTATGAGTTCCTCTCTGGACATCCTTTCTGCCCAGTCGACGGTTGTCTAGCTGTCGACGTAAAACTCTATGGGGAGAGGACAATGTCGTCCGAACCACAAGGTATATGGTGGGTATCCAGTGCTAGCCCGGACCGTGACGTTGTCCGCCCATATTGCGTATCGAAAATATCGTGGCCAATCGCTGTCCTTACCTTTGCACCACTTGGATAGTGACGCTATCAGAGTCTGGTGTCCCCTCTCTACTGGAGAGTTCGACTGTGGGTGGTAGGCGGTGGCTATCGAAACTCTCGCCCCAGCTCTCTTGAACACACTCTGAACCTCGTCAGCTAGAAATTCCGCCCTTCTATCCATCACTATTTTGCTGACACATCCATACCTAGATAAGTACTCTAGGACGAAGTTCTTCACTTCCCTTACCGACTTACTCCTGATAGGTCTACCGTCCACGAACCCAGTGAAGTCGTCTCGTATGTTCACAATATAGTTCATATTGCCTACTCCTTTCGGCATCTTCACCAGATCGATGTATACCTTCTCTTCTGGCCTGGTCGGATAGGATGGATGAAGTAGCTCTTTGTATTTCACAAGAGCTCTCTTCTGGCACTCCTCGCAGGTTATACAGTATCTCTCGACGTCCTTATACTGTCCCTCCCACCAGTACAGTCTGCGTACCTTTTCGTAGGTTCCTTTGACTCCTCTGTGACCTCCGACTACCTCGTCGTGAAGCTCCGCAACTATCGTCTGTCTCTCTTTAGGATCACCGACTACTCGTAAGGGCATCCCCGACCCGACTGGTCTTCTGAATAGATGGCCCGCTCTAAGGCAGTACTGGGCCGCTTGTCTCCGGATATCTGAATCTTGACTCTCCTCTCCGGACAAATGTAGCCCGATCATTCGGTATTTGCCCTCGTAAAGGTTAACCAGAAATCGATCGGCGCATCTCGGCTCCTCCATTGTCAGGGCTCCAGCTACTATCCGGCACTCAGCCTCAAGATGGATCCGAGAAAGCTCATCCGCCACGACATTTTTAGTACCAGATATTCTCTCAACTGTGTAATCATATAGTCGAATCCATATTAACCATCATGCGATGGTCGGGTCCGTCAGACTAAAGTCCTTCTGGAGTACAGAGATGACCGCTGTGGGATCTACTCTTAAGATGAACCACCGTCCGTAGATATAATGTCTCAACGTGTCTAGACACTGCAGAACAGCTAACACTTCCTTCTTGAATTGACTGTAGTTACGCTCAGCCGTATTAAGTGTCCTACTCTCAAATCTTAACGGTTTTTCCTTCCCTTCAGCGTCCTTCTGACACAAGGTCCAGCATCCGTGGATACTATGAAGGGTGTCTCGGCCTCATCATCAAAGAACGGCACGCCCAGTACGCGTCCTCCCTCCTTAAATTCATCTTTAAGCTCTTGCATAGCGAGTTCCTTGGAAGAATCCCAGTAGAATTTCTCAGTCTTCCGAAGGAGTACCCTCAATGGCTCAGCCTTCTCTTAGAAATTGACGAACCTCTGTAGCACTATGCAACGGCGACGACCAATTTAGGAGTTTGTCTGGCTTTGCAGGATCAGCTCGGCGTTCTCTCGAGTCGCAGATAAAGCCTTAGATCTTAATAGTCGAGACGGTACACCGACTCTTCGTTCCGCTGACCGTCAAATTTGCATCGTCCAACTGCTCAAGTATCGCGCAAATATCGGTTAGGTGCTGTTCGACGAATCTTCTAACTTCTGGTACGACCTCTGTCTTATCTTTCCTTACTGGTCCTTTTATAGGAAGGTCATCTAGAAAAACTTCAACCTTATCAGGAATAAAGTCCTTGACGACGGCTACCATAACTCTCTGAAAAACGGCTTCCACATTAGTCCAACCCATAGGGACGACCATCCTCTGTATCAGTCTCAATGGCGTGTGCATAGCTGTGAGGTGCCTATCCCTGGGATCAAGCGGTACCTCATCATAGGCCAAAAACAGATCACAAACCGAATAAATTGACCTGCCTGCGATGCCTTCAGCCAGTAAGTCGGCGTGAGGCACGAAGCCTACGTCTCGAATTGTCACCGCGTTGACCTTTTGAAGGTCCTGGATCCACCGGATCTTGCCATTCGGCTTTCGTAGGAAGAACCATTGATTAGCATAAGCGCTGTCAGATGGCTCTCAACATGAGAAACCATCTTTTCTTTCAGGAAAACGATAACCTCTTCCTTCTCCTTCTGGGCGTATTTCCATCCTGCGTTATTCCATGGAACATGTGGAATCGTGTAAATCCTTGCTGGCCTAGCGTATTGAGGGTCTACCCTACCGCGCTCCGTGTCGCTGAAAGCTATAGCCTTATCGCACGTCTTTAGGATTTCTATCACACGTTCCCGCTCCTGTGGGGTCAGATTTCCATTTCCGATGTCCATCCCTGCTATCCTCTCTTCGGCTAGACGTTGCGGCTCTTTTTTCTTCCTTTCTTTGATTTCCTTTGCGATCTCTTCTTCCGATATCCCTTCCAGTGCAGATCGCTCGCGGCCCACTGCCGCTGGCTTAACTTTCTGAGTTACTCGCTTGTGTCGCTTGGGTAGCCCCCCATAGGGGGCTGTGCTCTTAAAAAAGACACAGATACCACGCCGCCAAATTCCTCATCTGCCTCCTTTGGATACGAGTTGCCGTCCACTATCAGCCGGCGCCCTAAATCTTTCATTTCTACAATCTGGCCTTCTTCTTCTGTGAGCAGAGGTCCATACTTCTTCTCGCGAAACCGCACCGCGCGACCGGAGATAGGCAATGACTTAATTCGATCACTGGGTCCCGCACCTAACGCGAGAGCTGCTCTGTTCCTCGGGTCTCGAGGCTCCATTGTCTCAATCATAACCCGCGTCCCGTCTAGCTTCTTAATGGACAGTGTCTGGCTCCCGTCCGGTCGCTCTATCGTCACTGCATGCACATGGCTCAACCACGTCCGTCCCAAGAGCAGGTCAAAGCTGCTGTTCTTGACTGCAAAGACTGGCAGGGTCACTCGTACCCCTTGGACCTCTATGGCTGCCTTGTGACAAACCCCTGTGATTTGTTGCTTTCTCCCATCAGCTATCTCTATCTCGAAAATGTACGACCTATCAAGTCCCAGTCCAAATTGCTTCGCCAGATCCTCGTCTATAATGACAGCCTCACTGTCGTTTTCGATTACAGCATCTAGAACCGCTCCGTCGTTTAGGATCGCCTCCACGGCCCCACTACCAAGTATGTAAAACTTGTCTGGAGGTACAGCTTCCATCCCATCAAGAAGAATTGTCGCCATGCAATCTGCTCTAGCGGTCACCTCTGATACTGCTACAGTAGGAGCATCCGCCTTAGGGGCCACCTGAACCTCCTCCGATAGAGGTATGCAAGTCTTTCGCGTGATCATCTGTAACTGTTCGCGAGCCGGCTTGGATGCTGCCAGATATTCTAGAATAGAGCACTGCATGGGCTACCGAAGGGCCCGTCTCAGGGGCTTAACCGTGTCAATGTCATCCAACGAACTCTTCATCAAGAACTTCTTCACTTCACGCTTTCGCGGTGAAAGAATAACCTCCTCTCCATCGATCCGCTGTCCATCCTTTTCTGCCATTACATAGTCCGTGTCAGTCTTCCTCGATGTAGAGCCTCTCGCTGACTTGGTAGCTGCCACCCTTATGGGTGTAGTTGCCATATCTCCTTCGAAAGTTATCTTGATGCTCTGACTCCTGACCAGCGCCTTCCCTTTACTCGGCTTTACTCTCCTCGCTTCTACATTATCCTTCATCGAAGGGAACATTGATACGTCTCCCAGATCATCTGCCCACTTGACGTACTTGCGGTCATCAAGCACAACAAGTCCCTCATCTATTGCCCGCTTGAGATCTGGGCAGTCTCTCTTGATATGATCCCTCTACAGTAGATGCAATAGTTCCTCAGAGTGGATGGTCTGTCATCTGCGCTCCTAGAGATTGAACTCCTGGCTGCTCTGGGTTAGGGGACTTTGGATACGGATCAGATGACGCGCCATATCCCCCTCTCTCATTCCGTCCACGCGAATCATTTCAGCCGTCTCCTTCAGACCCTCCTTGCTCACATCGTCCCCGTCAGTCATTCCGGCGGTCTCCATGGTCGTATCGCCCGCGTGACTCATCGCGTCGATCTCCTCAGTCGTACCACCCCCGCGAATTGTCGCGCTGTTCTCTCGCGAATCCATCGTGGTCATACTGTCCGCGGGAGCCATCTCGTTGGTCTCCGTCTCGATCTCCTCTCTCATATCTGCCACCCCTGTATCCATCTCGATCCGACCTCTCATATCTGACGTCCCTGTATCCGTCTCGCCAGCCTTAATCTGACTCCCACCGGCCGCGAGAGTCGCCTCTATCCCCATCAGCCTCATAACGAGGGCTACGCGAGTAATCATCCAGTCTCCTAGCTCGTCCATATGTCTTGCGAGCCCTGCGGTCCTGGTCTATCTCATCATCCCTACGTTGCCATGGCTCATTGTCTCTCTCCCTTTCCCTCGCACGATAATCAGTCAGTGTTCGAGGATTTCTATCCTCGACACTCCTCCAGGAATCGGTGTTCCTTCAGTCCCAGCGAAGTGAATAGGACCCCCCGGGTTTGTCCCGGTAAGTCGTGGCTCCCGTGCTGGTCACAATCTCTGTAACTTGTCTTGTCAATCCCTGTACCATATTCCTTATCTCTTTCACTTCCTCGGCCACGGCTTCATTCTTTTTCGACCAGGGATAGTCCTTGAAATCAGGACATCTATCAGTAACATACTCCTTATTGCGAGTCATGTGAGGTTTGTCGATGCTGCAAATCCCGCAACCATCGTCCGTACGGCGAGTTACGACCATTACCGGTCCCGTTGAGGAGAAGGGAAGTGATTGCCATGGACATCACCGGCCCGTCGCCCAAGCACAAGACCGACGTGGATGAGATTCTCACGGTGGTCGATCGACTCACCAAGTTTGCCACGTTTTTGCTTTGTCGCTATCATGCCAAGGCACCGAAGTTGGATGAGGTTCTTTACGCCAGTTGGATTCGAACCAAGGGTTACCCCAAGGAGATCGTCTGCGACCGTGACGCTCGGTTCATGTCCGATTTTTGGTTGGCGCTCATCAAGCGATGAGGTTCATCTCTCAAGCCCAGTTCAGCTCGCCACCCTCAGACCGATGGCCAAACGAAGAGGGCGCAGCAGACCTCAAAGGTTTTCCTTCGCACTCTCATCCGTCCTGACCATAAGGAATGGGTTGAGCGGTTGCCGGACGTCGACTTGGCCTACAACTCTTCCACCCACCCGGCTATCGGGATATCGCCTTTCGAGTTCGAGCACGGCTCGCCGGTCACTTCCCCATTGGACACTATCACTCCACGAACGACCGAGAGCGACGATCATCTTCTTTCTTGCGTCAGATGCAAGAGCTTCTTGTCAAGGCACGCGACCAGAAGGCTAAGACGCAGCAGCGCATGAGCCCGCAGGCCAATCGCCAGCGTCTTCCTTGCCCATTCCACGCCGGCGACCTCGTTTGCGTTTTCACAGTGGAATTCAGACTTGAACAAGACATCTCTCGCAAGTTCCTCCCGAAATGGATGGGGCCTTGGCCGATCGTGGCACCCGCTAGGGACGCACCTGAGGGACCTTCCTTCATGATTCAGGTGCCGCCCACTTGCCCATCTACCCAATCTTTCATTGCTCCAAGTTGGTTCTTTACACGCCCGCAGAACATGACCATTTTTCCGGGAGACGTTCGCAAGACCCACCCTCCATGGATGGTTTTCAGGAGGTCGGCGACATCATCTCCTAGCGACGCTACGACAACAAGCGAACCGAGTATTTAGTGCATTTTGCATACTGCACACACCGAGCTGACCGTTGGTTGAACCGTGCGGAACTTCAAGTAACAGCTCCTGACGTTCTCGCACGCTACGAAAGCAAGATGAGAGGCAAGCCGGTATATTCGGCTCCACACCTCGCCCTCGTCTATGTTCCACCTTCGGATCGTCAGCTTCGCCCTCGCCCGGGCTTGACTTCATAAGGAGGGGGGGGATGTTACATATTGCGCCTGCGCACGAGGGCCATTTTCCAAGCCCTGCGTCCCTCTGGCTGAAAGCCGGAAATGCAGGCTAAAAGCCTGAAAACCAGGGCCTACAGGCCCCGTGAGTGTTCAATCCGAAAGCCTGAAAACAGGGGCCTACAGTCCCTGTGTCGTTTCAGACTAAAAATGGCACAGGCCTTTTTAGCCTGAAACGAAGGGCCATTTTCGATCGTTCATCAGAACGACCAGCCCTGAAACTCAGGCACCGAACCATGGTTTCGGGAACAGGCTATTCTTACCTTGTTCCCACGCCAGCCTCAGCAGCTGCTGCAGCGCCGGGCCCTGACACACTTCGGCATTGCCAAGAGCAGCCTCCTCGGCCTGGCTCGCCCTTCAGGCAGCCAGGAGGCAGGCCGAGGTAGTACTTTGGGACTTCCCATGCACTTCACGGGTAGGCAGGAGACAGTCAATAGTTTTCAGGATTCGGCAACAACACTCTGGAGGGAGTGCTGCCAGGAGTAGTAGTAGCGTTAGCCTTAGTCTTCAGCGCTGGGCGCAGTAGGTAGTTGTAGTCTTCAACGTTGGGCGCCATAGCTAGGATAGCACTAGAGAGAGAGAGATTGGGCGGAGGCCAGAGGTACCTACCTGCAGCACCGTTCCTCCAGCTTCGTCTTCGAGGTACCTGCAGCACAGCGCCAACATCACAGGTTAGTATCTGGCTCGTGACAGAGAGCGAGTTCTTCTTCTTCCTCTTCTCAGTCCACCATCTCCCTCTCACCCTCTCCTTATCTGACTTCACTGCATCTGCAGACTACGAGAGAAGAGTGAG